GGGCCTCTAGTATATATTTAAGAAAAAAAGAAAAGAAAAGAATGTGGCAATTTCCTAACTCAGTGGATGAAACAGGCTCACATCAAGACACATCGTTGGAAACTGCAAAACATTGGGAGCAGAGATTTGACAAGTTTTCAGGAAAAGAAAAACAAAAACAAAAACTCTGGCTATATTTGAAATATCAGGAATCAGAAGCATATAGGACTTCACAACAGAAAAAAACTAGAAAGCAATGAAGTAATACTTTCAAAATTCAGAAGGAAAATTATTGCCAATCTATAATTTCTATATCCAACCAAACTACCAATTAAAGGTGAAGGTAGAATAAAAACATTTTCAGACATGAAGACCTCAAACATTTTATTTCTATTCATCCTTTCTCAACAACAAAGGCAAGGAAGTAAATACAGAAAGAGGAATAAATGAAATACAGGAAACAAGGGGTCTAGCAGAGGAGAGAGGTGAAGGGAATTCCCAGAATAGTGACAAATAAAGATTTCAAAATAACAGTTACTATCTATGACTCAGTTCCCTTGTCTGTGGAACAGGGAGCTAACAATAGTGCCGGTCTCAGACTTGTAAGGATTCAGCATAAAACAGAGTAGAACCTGGCACAAAGTAAGAGCTACAGGGTATTATCATTATCAAAGAGTTAACTCTACTCTATATTAACATATAACTATTTAACATATTACAATAGCTTAAAAAAAGAAATAAATCAGCCCTAACTGGTTAGGCTCAGTGGATAGAGCATCGACCTGTGGACTGAAGAGTCCCAGGTTCGATTCCAGTCAAGGGCATGTACCTTGGTTGTGGGCACATCCCCAGTAGGGGGTGTGCAGGAGGCAGCTGATCGATGTTTCTCTCTCATCGATGTTTCTCTCTCATCGATGTTTCTCTCTCATCGATGTTTCTCTCTCATCGATGTTTCTAAGTCTCTATCCCTCTCCCTTCCTCTCTGTAAAAAAATCAATAAAATATATATATATAAAAAGAAATAAATCAATGTAAAACACATTTCTGAACTGAACATACTTCCAGCTTTGGAATGACTAAAAATAGTCGCAGAACCATAGGGTTTAGGAGGTTGGCAGGGTTCTGAAATTTTTCTACTGTAATTTTCTTGTTTTAAAGGGTAGGAAATTGAAGTTCAGAGTGGCTAACCTGCTTCAGACTACATAGGCATTTAGAAGAGGAGCTGGACTGGCAGTCAGCTGCTTCATGTCATCGCACTAAAAATCAGAAGCGCAGGTAGCCTCAGAGGGTCACACATACAAGCAAAATCACAACAGAAATAGTTTGTCCAATTCAGTGATTGTATCCTACAACCAGGCACTGTGCTCAAATATACATAAGCAGAAAGGCCACGTAGAGCTATTCAGGGCAAAAAAGAGAGGAAGCTACTAGTTAGGTTGACATTAAGGAAGAAAAAGTATTGAATTCATTGCCCAGGAAGGACACCTCTGGTGATTTTACACACAAAAGTGAGAGTATTAATCCCTAATGTTCTGGACCAATATGAGGCAGCATGGACGGGCATTGCTGATCCAGGAGTAAAAGGATGGGAAGCAGTGCATATCCATCACAGTTTTCTAAATCTTTCTAAAGGAATACCCACCATTTTTAGGAATAGTAGTCTTTTTGGTCATTGCTACCAAAGTAATGATGCTCTCATCAGAATGATCTGGCAATAAAGACTACTGAGCAAGGCCAATGAAGAGCATGAGTAGTCAGGGGAGAAAAGGCAAGATCCTGGGAGAAGAAAATTTCTTCCCAGTCTTATCAGGCAAAGCACCACTGAGACTCCTTTGAGGTTTGAGAGGGTGAGAATTTTCCTGGTAGAAATTCTATGGTATGTCTTCATCTTCCAACTGAAAATAAGCCCTCTGTACATTGGCACTAAGTCCCACTTAACAGCTTGAGATGAACTTATTTTAAAAGAAAATTGCCCATTTACTTTTCACTGAACTGCAGAAGAAAAGTACATGCTAATTTCTCTTCTTTAAAACACTATCAACTTTTATGCTTCTTGAATATTTATTCAAACAATGTCTAATTACTTTTGGATACAGTAAATGTTCCAAAGCAATCCAAATACTACAGTGGTGACCAGTTGGATTAAACACCTCTTAATATTTTGACCATTTAACAGATTTAAAGTGACAGGTAAAAAGTTCAAAAATACAAAAAATGCTTTTAATCCTTTTTATAAATGCCTATTTTGGTATTTGTAATTAATAAGATTTTCTCCTTTCACTCTCTTATAAACATTGGGTGCAGCCTGGAAAATCATTCAAATAAAAATACAAAAGCATGTACTGGTAACTTAGCAAAGTTAGTAAAAACATAAAAAGAAATAAAAACTACTTTAAAATATTTCCAATTTATTCTGTGCTTGAACAGAAACATACAGAAAACACAGTTTAAAACTGAAAAATACCGCAATGTCGACACTCACAGAAAAAGTAGGATTCCGGTGTTTGCCAGGGCGAAGGCGAGTCCCAAAATGCCACTGCCCATAATGGCGTTGCTCAGGTTAAACACAGACATGCCTAACGAGGTGGTTCCTGGAATCTGAACAAAGAGACAAACATTCACACTAAAGCAGGACAGTCCCCAAACCTGTTCATCACACCAAAGCCTTTACAGCACTGTTAGACACCAACACAAATTAACTTCAAGAAAACCTTCTTGGGGGGACACCGACAGCAGGGCAGCAGGTCGCAGGCGGGGGCCATGGGAAAAGGCTATTATTACCAGACGCTGGGCCCGGCCCG